CGAGTGCGAATGTAAATTTAGCGAGTGCGAATACAAATTTAGCGAGTGCGAATGCAAATTTAGCGAGTGCGAATTGAATTTAGCGAGTGCGAATTGAATTTAGCGAGTGCGAATTGAATTTAGCGAATTTTGAAACAAACGGACGACCATAGGGTTTTGTATCGTCAAAGATGCGATGTCTTTTGTTGCCATGCGCTCTTTCATTCATTATTTATACCCCTGGTTCATCCTGAATAGAAATGGGAAAATGTTCAGGTTTTCGTTTACCCAATCATTTTAGCACTTCAGATATTTTTTAACCAGCCCTACTAGACCTACTAGATTCAGCATCGTAAAAATGCTTTTTTAATGCGGTTAAATATATTTAAGCAAGGTTAACGGCGGATGTATTATGCATGCTACATCCGCTGAGGGGAGTCCGTGACGTCATATCGATCAAAGGGGGTTGTTTCGCGCCTTGTGATCATTGCTTTGGTCTGGTTATTCATTCTGCCATTGTATGCTTTGCCTAGTTGCAGCAAGTTTTAGCGCCTCGTTACTTTTTCTCTGTTGTTACATTATTTTGCTTGCGTTATGCCTCGTCTAACCAGAAATAGTCGAGAATCTGGACCCGTCTTTCCGGGCGTTGTTAGTTCGCAGCAGTCTAGCTCGGAATCGCGTACATCTATTGGCGATACATCTAGCGCATCTACGACCACAAACACCGTTGTTCAGTTGGGAACGAGTACGATGCCAGCATTGTCGACCGGGGATATTGTCACCAATGTAGTCCAAGTATTACAAGGTCAACTAACCAGCCTGGTACAGAATGCCATTGACGCCCAGCTATCTTCGTCGGCAAGTGGTAGTTCAGGCGCAAATTGCGAGGTATCGTCGCAGGCACAACTCTCTACAGTCACATCCCGTACAGCGTCCTTCGTGCATAACCTTGCGACCAGTGCGGGGAATTTTTCGACTTTGGGTTCAGCGCCATTTCGATCGTCGGCTACGAGTGAGGCAAGTACCGGTATGCCACGTATGGCGAGTTGTTTGGCGAATTCAACAGGTAGGATCATTCCAAACTTTTTAAATACGTTTACTGCTCCTATCAGCTCAAGTGTGTGGTCTTCGGGAGGTGGTTATAGTACCCCCGAGGTTGCCTTAGCGTCGCAACCTTCAGTTGTACCTTCGCTGCCGTCAGTATTGGATTTGGCTGGTTATTCTAGCGCAGAACAATTGTTACCCCAGTCTCTTCATGGTCATGGCCCTTCCCCGTTTATCGTGGGTCCAGGTTACGCTCCCATCTCGGCTAAAATTGTTAATGCCATTGTGTCAGGGAAGTACATTAATCTTGGGGACCTACTCCCGGAAAATGCGCTGGTTGTGGACGATTTTAGCGAACCACAGTTATTGTTAGACGGCCGTCTAGTGTTAACGGGTTCTGCGCGAAAGCCTCGGAAAGAAATAACCGATATCTTGTCTTGGGTCGAAGCCTTCACAGTCTTCAGCGTGATTGTCTGTTCGTACTTTCCGAACCGATGGCGTGATTTGTCATCGTACAAGCTTTTAATTTTGCGCACGTATCGTCAGTTTGCTGGTTATGCATGGTGTGATTACGATAAAGCGTTTAGACAACACGCTGCTGCTACCAGGCTCTTGGACTGGTCGGAACTTAATGTGCAGCTTTTTAATTTCCACACGGCTGGTTCGGCCTATAGAGGTCCCAACAGACTTACTACAGCGTCTAGTAGTTCTCGTTCCGAGCCTAATGGTAATCGTAACCATGACTGTTCGGTCAAGTGTTTCTCGTGGAACAAGGGACGGTGCGTAGCACCTTCGGCAGTTTGTCGCTACAAACATGCGTGTACGTTGTGTTCCGCTGCACATCGTGAGATCGAGTGCCCATCAGTCTCTGCTGCTTCAAATTCGCCATTTTATTCTGGCTCAAATGGACCCGTTGGTGTCAACAAAAAGCGTCGGTTATAATTATGCTTGACGTTGCTTGCAATGAGTGTTTTTTTTTTGTTTTTTTTTGCAATGTTTGACAGTATTTGCGAGTGTGGTTTTGTTAATGTTACTTTCCAAGACTATATATTAAGTAGATATATATTAGATATATAGATATTTATGTAGATGTATGAACAGACTAAATACTAGTCTAAACTCTAAATGTCTGCATAGGAAATTGCTTGCGTTTAGGAATTGTCTATTTTCCGTTCTGGAAGATAAGTAGGTTATTACAGTTGATAATCCGTGATGTTAACCTTCAGGTTGTCAAAGATAGGAAATACCTTAAATATCGGAAGGCTGTATGATATAGATAACCTTTTAGAAGGGGTTATTAACACACCTCAGGCCAATGTTCACTCATAGTTAATAATATTCACTTCACATACAGTTTCGATTGCTCTCACCTGTGTTGAGGCAAACCGTTTTCATTAGTTGAGCATGGTTAGCGCTGGCAATTCTGTCGGCGATTGCATTCGGACGGATGCGAATGAGTAAACTAGCACATGTCATTCATTCGATTGCATTTGCCAGGGGGGAGGGGGAGTCGCCGGTGGAATTGCTAGTGTGAACCTGGCTTCTGTCAATACATATTCCACGATTGTTATGTTGAATGTTATAAGCTGAATCTTGGCCCCAGCCAGACTTTAGCCTTTTTTCCTTTTGCATTGTTTGTAGCTGCCGAATTTGAGGGCCACAAGTTATTAGCTGTTAGCTATTATGTATATATTACCCATTTTGAAATAAAGATTGTACTTTTACTTTAACCCATGAACGTGTCATTTCTTCACCGTGCTAATTAATAGGCTCAAGCCGGTAATACGGGTATGGGAAGTATTGTCGGCAGATATTAAAGTTATGATCAGAATAAAGATTTTTAGATAAGTACATTTCGAGTTACGTTCTTGGTATTTGTGGCTTTTAATCATTCCGGAGGTTTATCTCACGTGTTGCAGGCTGCAGGGCGTAAATGCGTACCCCCCCCCCGTTTGTGTCTGGTGTCGCTTTTCTTTTGTTTGACATGCAGTCCGAATGTGCCTGTGACCATGGGTAGATAATTAAACATTGTTTGCAGTCTGCTATCGCATGCCTGGTTGCTTTGTGTTTTGTGCGTGAGATGTGGCGCTTGTTTTTGTTTTTGTTGTTTTGGGGTGTGTTTGTTTTTTTTGGGGGGGGTGTCCCCATCTGTTTTGCCCCAAGAATGATGAGGATTGTTGTTGTTGTTATTGTGCCCATCAGGCTCTAGCACTACCAAGGTATATATATGCCCAGGGCGTTTTTTCTGGGCAGGCCTATGTGTACGCGCTATACTGCTGCCGCTTTCACGGTTTTATTCGGTCCTTTGTTATTAGGTTACAATCGCTTGGGGGGGGGGGGCATCTTACATGGTTTTGATCCTCTAACCGTTGTTTTTAGGCTATCTTCAGCCGGTTTCGTTGGTATCCCCTCTTAAATTACGACAATTCACTACTGAACTACAATGTCATCCTGACCGTTCTAAAGTGGACTATGTACTTAATGGCATTGCACACGGTTTTAATATTGGATGTTCTCCCCAGGTTCAGTTGACTGCGGCAAGTAAGAACAAAGCGTCAGCATATGAACACCCTGAAATCGTCGATGCGTATTTGCAGAATGAAGTTAGTTTGGGTCGCGTAGCTGGTCCGTTTGAGACACCTCCTTTGCCTGACTTACACATAAGCAGCTTTGGTGTTATTCCAAAGTCGGGTCAACCTGGTAAATGGCGTTTAATTCTAGATTTGTCATCTCCACACGGCTTCAGCGTTAACGATAGTATTGACCCGGATCAATTTTCCCTACAGTACATCCAATTTGACGATGTCGTCGCAATGGTGGCCAAACTTGGCAGGGGTGCTTTGATGGCAAAGTTTGACGTTCAACGCAATGTGGCTGTTCTACCCTTCCAACGCTACCTGCTTGGCATGAAGTGGCGGGGAAAGTTTTATGTGGACCTGGTATTACCTTTTGGTTTACGTTCGGCACCGTTCTTTTTTAATTCGATAGCGGATCTCGTAGAATGGATTCTGCGTAACAATTACATGATACGGGACCTCTTGCATTACCTCGACGATTACATAACCGCTGGCCCCCCTTGCCGTCCTGATTGCGCACGGAATTTAGTCGTCGCGTCCTCGGTGTGCCAGAGTTTAGGCCTACCATTGCATCCGGACAAAACCGTGGGTCCAACTACCTGCTTGATCGTCCTGGGTATTGAACTTGATTCTGTGCTACAAATCGCGCGTCTTCCCGCCACCAAATTACTAGCTCTCAAGGGTCTTTTCACGGAATGGAGCGCGAGGAAGTGGTGTACACGCGTACAATTGGAGTCGCTGATAGGCAAACTCCATCATGCTTGCCTCGTTGTTTGGCCCGGTCGTACGTTTCTCCGTCGGATGATTAATTTGCTGTGCGCGTTTCGGAGCCGTGATCATCCAATCCGACTTAATGTCGAATTCCGTTTAGATCTCCAGTGGTGGATCGAGTTTCTAGACGATTGGAACGGGACAAGTTTCATCCTGCTCCCAGGTCTCATGCCCGTGGCGGACTTATGTGTTACATCCGATGCTGCTGGCGCTATCGGGTACGGTGCATTATATCACCAACAATGGTTCAGCCATAAATGGATGCCCTCTCAAATGCCAATGTCGATTGCCTACAAAGAGTTCTTTCCAGTCGTTATTGCCGCTCATCTCTGGGGTGATCAGTGGGCCCACCGACGGGTTTGCTTCCGTTTGGACAACTCTTCCGTGGTCCACATTTTAAATGCGCGTACCTCCCGGGATCCCCACATTATGGGTTTAGTACGTTCGCTCCTTAGTGTAGCTGCCCGGTTTAACTTCACTTTCCAAGCCCAGCACATCCCTGGTCTAGCTAACCCCGTGGCTGACGCGCTGTCTCGTTTTCGTTGGCAGGTGTTCCGACAACTAGCTCCGGACTCCTCAGCAACGCCCACGCCTATTCCAGAAGAGATCCTACAGCGGCTGGCTCCCACCAATTAGAGGCCCAGTGCCAACGTTACCTACAACAGGGTTTAGCGTCGTCAACCCAAAGGACCTATTCGTCAGCTCAACGCGCCTTCTTACGTTTTTGTGAAGGAGCTAATCTAATGAACTCGCGTGGTTCTCCTTTGCCTGCTGAAGAATGGACCCTTTGCCTGTTTGCGACATGGCTGGCTGACGATTTAAAAGCAGCGTCGATTAAAGTGTATTTGTCTGCCGTTCGAGCTCTTCACATAGAACAGGGTTTTCCAGATCCGTTGAGTGGTTGCTTACGTCTACAACGAGTTTTAAAGGGCATTAAACGCTGTCAAGGTTCTTCTTCTGACAAGAGACTTCCAGTCACCCCAGCAATCCTCCGTGCTATCTACAGTCATCTCGATCTCTCACAGTATGACGCCGTTATGTTTTGGGCGGCCTGCTGTCTAGCCTATTTCGGGTTCTTACGTTCATCCGAATTTACTGTCCCGAACGGTGCCACGTTCTCGCAAGCCTTACATCTCTCCGTCCACGACATCGCTGCTGACCAACGGGTGGCTCCTTCTAGGATCCAAGTGAACATTAAAGTGTCCAAAACTGATCCTTTCCGTCAAGGTTGTATCCTCACGTTGGGACAAGGCCGCTCCCCTTTGTGCCCGGTGGAAGCGATGCTGAATTTCCTGGAACTACGGGGCGGCTCGGCTGGTCCATTGTTCGTTAGGTCAAATGGTGTTCCTTTGACTAGGACCTATTTATCGGAACGGTTACGTCGGTTGCTAAGCGATGCGGGAATTCCTGGCAATTTTAGCAGTCACAGTTTTCGCATTGGTGCTGCAACGTCCGCCGCTTTGGCAGGTGTTCCCGATCACCTGATCCAAACATTAGGACGGTGGTCCAGCTCCGCGTACTTGACATACATTCGGACACCACGTAGCTTGTTATCCAATTTAACGAAGAGTTTATGTTAAAAAATAATATAGATTTTATTCCCGTTGCAGTCAGTTGCGTGTATTTCTGGTAATTTTAGTACAGATATAATTTAACGTCTCGGAGCGCGTGTAGTGGGTGCCATAGTTTGTGGTCAGTTCTTGGAGATAAGTGCACATGACAATTTGCCATGGCACTTCCTCTTCAAGTTCATATTGGAACTACATGGTCGTTTTATTCATACTGGAGCTATGAATGTTGTTGAATTCATACTGGAGCTATGAATATTGTTGAATTTATACTGGAGCTATGAATGTTGCTTAATTCATACTGGAGCTATGAATGTTGTTTAATTCATACTGGAGCTATGAATGTTGCTTAAGTCATACTGGAGCTATGAATGTTGTTTAATTAAGTCATACCGAAGCTACTAAGGTTGTTGAATTCATACTGGAGCTATGAATGTGACCTTATTCATACTGGAGCTATGAACTTGAAGGTACTGACCATTGTGGAGGTATGCCTTGGCAGAATTGTCATGGCTATCTCTTTTTGCTGCTAATATTACTGATTGTTGCTCTCATTGTTGCTGCGCAGCTGCTATGGCAATACTTCTTGCCATCAAGGCTAGTTGCGGCCTTGGACCACAAACGGCACCTACCTTCAAACACTAATACTCTGCCGTTAAATGTGGTTAAATATATTTAAGCAAGGTTAACGGCGGATGTATTATGCATGCTACATCCGCTGAAGGGAGTCCATGACGTCATATCGATCAAAGGGGGTTGTTTCGCGCCTTGTGATCATTGCTTTGGTCTGGGTATTCATTCTGCCATTGTATGCTTTGCCTAGTTGCAGCAAGTTTAGCGCCTCGTTACTTTTTCCCCACCCACCCAAAACCCATGATATTCTAGAGGATTTTATCTGGTAGTCTGTCAGTTTTGGGGTTTTTTTTTTTTTTTTTGGGGGGGGTTGTTTGGTTTGTTTGTTGTTTTTTTTGGTGTTGTTTTTTGGTGTTTTTTTTGTTGTTTTTTTTAATCTCACAGGAATAGGATGTATAGACCACTATACATTGTATTTTATTTCCACTGACTTGTCAGTGTGACTGGTGCCGGAGGTATGCCTTGGCAGAATTGTCATGGCTATCTCTTTTTGCTGCTAATATTACTGATTGTTGCTCTCATTGTTGCTGCGCAGCTGCTATGGCAATACTTCTTGCCATCAAGGCTAGTCGCGGCCTTGGACCACAAACGGCACCTACCTCCAAACACTAATACTCTGCCGTTAAAAAACGGTAATCTATAGACTATATGTAATGGATCAGCATTTAAATTTTCAACACAGTTTGTGAGATGTAATTGAAGAGATAACTTATCATTACATTTGAACTATTACATGAGTTGGTGTTATATACTGCGCGATAACCGAATATTATTGGAAAGAAGGCTTCCATGCATATACGTTGAAATCACCAAATATATGCACACATTTCTCCACTTCGTCGTAAGTTTATAGAATATAGAGCATTACAGAATTTACAGAATACAGAGCACTTTGGGACTGATCTTTGTCTTCGATGTAAACATTTATTCTTATAGTTTAAGGTTATTTAAGATTGATCTTGTCGTAAGTGTTCTACCAGCAACCAATCGATAATATTTCATTTTAGCGTCGTCTTTGCTGTTACGTTGGCTTCGTGTTACTTTTGTTTTAAATACCTTGATCGTGTCAAAAGAGTTATTTTTCAGGCCAGTGACATAGCCAAAAGACTTCGCATAAATGTCCTTGTGATTTTATAGATATATATCTAGAACTGAGGATTTTAGAAAGCGTTATTTGTACTTTCTCAAAGTTGTAGACAATTAAGATATGTTTTTTACGTCCTATACACGCATAAGATTGCATAACTCGAAATGATTCGAGCAAAACCGGTCTTCGTGCATCGTCATCGATCCGTGTCGTTGAACAATGAAACATTTGTCGTGAAATTATTGAACATAAAATAGCATTTTGTGATTAAACTGCATGGGAACTTTCGGATTTGAACTCAGCGCATGGGCGTACGGGAAGGAAAAAATTAGGGGGGCGGATAGAAATTTGCCCGACCTTTTCGGATTGTACTCAAGTTGTCAAAAAAAATTTTCCGGAGAAACTTTCCAAAATTGTTGTCGACGGGGGCGGGGGAATGATTACGAAAAATTCCTATTAGATACCACTGATATTTCCCACAAAATTGACAGAATTTTCCACAAAATTGACAGAATTTGTCCCATTTATTTTTATATAATTAACAATTATTCGCCTCAGGCTCGGTGATTATCGGGGAATATTCACCTCGACGAAGATTTTGTTATATTCACCTTTAGGTGCGTCCTCTTTCGTCTCAATCAAGATTGACAATTACAGGTATGTTCCTTGTGCAGAAAAACAATATTACGTAACGACTATTAAACGAATATTGCTTGACTAACTATTTACTAACAAACTAGAGGGACCCCCCCGGTACGCCTATGACTCAACGTGCTTGAAAGTGTTAGTTCCCGTCAAAATATTTCAGATCCAAGACATGCTAAATGAAAGTGAACGATATCGGGTCACAACACACGGACTAAATGAAAATATTTTGAAGAAAAATATATTTTTGGGGGGAGGGGGAAAGGAGAGGAGGTGAGTGGGGGGTGGGTGACTTAGGATAATTCCAGAAATGATGTTTTCTCCAAACAAATCAAAATCATATGAAAAATGTACACAAAATGCCTGCCTATCTAAATATCTAGCAATATATCATTGCATGCATGTCCAAACTCCAAACTGATTACATCGAATTGGGTTCGTAGTATCAAATACCAAAATATTCAACGACTATTAAAGACTTGCCTATTTTCAAAGACTTGCCTATTTTCAAAAACTTGCCTATTTTCAAAGATCTTTGAGAGCAATGAGGAAGTTGAAAAATCACGATTGTATATTAGCGCCATTTTTTACCCAGTAATTAGTCCCGTCATATCACATCCTAAAATGTGCCTTGTTTTCGATATTTGTAAAAATCTATAGCTGCATAGATCTACTTTATTATCTAAAGAATCTTCACCGACATATATATATAAAATCATTTGAAGACTTTTAAAAACTTTCTTCACTTTCTCGCACAATTCGAAGTGTTTGATTTTCTCAACAGTTGGGCCTCCGTCTCAAAATAAAAAGGCCACCCTTGTCCTGCTTATTCGAAGCGGTGACGATGGTCTGAAACAATTGTTTAAAACTTAAACTTCATCACTTTGCAAGGGATCCCTGTATAATTGACCTGCGGCCGCCGGCTTTTGGCGCAAAGGAGTTATGCCTTTCAAGGATTTCAAAGACCGCTACGAACCCTGTTGAAGCTTTTCATAAAAAAGGCTGCTACCAATAAACCATATTGATATACTGTACACACAGGAAAGTTTAAATCTATTCGCATGTTATTGGGTCACGGCAGGGTTCTCATTATAGAAGCCGGTGACTGGCGAAGTTCGCCGTCTACTTCCTAAATGTTCGCCCGGTCTACTTTTCTGTGCTGCGCTCATATACCTACTAACACAGTTAATAACAATAATAATAATATCATATAAACATAAATAATATTCACTAGGGTAAGCTCGTCAGCAAACGCTGTTATCGTCGATCTGTTTCATATCCTTTAAGCTCCAGCGCCATTCTCACTACTCTTCTCAATTAGACTCTTCTTTCGATGTTAACAGAATGCGCACTTGGAAAACCTACTGCTCTAAATGCCGTTCTTTAAACTTAAGCTGTTGCTCATAATCTAAACTATTAATTTTTATATAGCTATGTAAATATAGTGTTCTAGTCCTCGTCTTTAATGTATGTCTACTTATTGTTTTGTATCAGGTTGGTCTTCACATGGGACTCATGTCCTGTTGACCATACCTTCAATCATTGTTATAATTTTTGTATGATTGCATGTAAAGTTAATAAATAAAGAGCGCCCTGGACAATATAAATAAATATAGTAACAAGAAATTAAATATCTAAGATATTATTTTATTATATAAAGTATAGTGCTTTATAGAAATTTCGAGCACTGATAAAATTGATAATCTGACATGTGAGTTAGATTATTTATATATGTTTTATATGTTATATATAGGCTACGTATATTATATAACATACAAATAACAAAAGTTATGTAGTATATTCAATTATCGCTTCTCTGTAAAATTTATCGCTTTTCAAATACTGTCCTTTATATAATAAACGGAAAAATACATACATAGATGCTTGGAAATACCAGACTCATGAGATTTATTTCTTGTGTTACCCCAAATAAATCTGGTATATTTCCGCATACCCATGTGATTATTCTCTATATAAATGACATTAATATAAAACCTATATACAGTAATCTAAGTAGACTCAGTTTTGACTTAAAATTATTATATGCTACGGCTCCCGAGTAAAAACAGCTTGAGTCCCTAATACCTCCACCTTGCCTATTTTTTCTGTTTTGGAACCCTGGGTCACGTACTGTTCATCGGAAATCCTATATATACTGTATGATAGAATCAATGCCCAGCATAATAAATGCACATACACTACTCACTATAGTAAGAAAGTATACTAACGTCTCGCTTTTAACAAATTAAGAGTATTGAGGGTGAACAAATTAAGTCATATATTATAAATTATACAACCATTTAAAAGATATTGCATTCATGGCTTAATTCAGACGTTACAAACCAATACCTCTCTAGTCCAAGCCTATATTATAGGGGGATAGCTACAAATTCAAATGTTAAAATGTGCATTATGTCTTCAAAACTTTAAATTCTGAATTCTGCAGTTACTGCATGGTTAACTATGAGTGAAGGGTGTGAAGCATCTAAATCTAAAACATTTATTTTAGGCTAACTAGTCCAAAAGTAATCTAAAATAAGGATAAAATAGCTATTGCGCCAAATTCAAAACCTACTAGTAGGATCTATCCGAGTCGTATACAAGTTGGAATTGATTTCGGGACCCATAAATTCTCGTTCCGAGGCTACTAGTTTTGGTTGACTCCATTCAAAGAATAACTACCTCCCAATAAAAATAAAATCTATAAGCATGATTTGATTAGGCCAACTTTACTTTAGATATTAATAAGGAAAGTGGGTGGGAAAAGAAGCTCGGAGGAAATGAAATGGGACATGACTGAATTTGGAAATGACTAAACGTCCGCGATAAGAAACGTTCGTTAGAAGAGCAGTTTGAAAGAATACGCAATACAGTAAAAACCCGCATATAAGAACCTAGAGTTTAAGAACCTGTTAGGCTAAAATTGCTTGTATTTAGACCCACTTTATATAAGAACCTGTTTAGGCTAAAATTTCAAACAGGTTCTTAGGGACCGGTCATTAAATATGGCAAGGGGGGGGGGATGGAGGAGAAAGTAGGGGTCCTGAATTATTTTTTCATTGAGATGGGGGGGGTCCTTGAAAATTACATTATGTGAAAAAAAGGGGGGGGGGGCTTCGGATTTTTCCCAACAAAAGGATTGTTTCTCGTTATATACTATGAACAGCCAAAAGAGATGCATAAAATGCCCTTTAAACTGGAACACTGGGTATTAACATAACGAGTAAAGCATAAAAAACATAATATAAAAGTGGATGTAGGCGAGACAAGCATAGGCCATAGAGTAACTTACCTAAATAGATTGTAAAATATTTATTTAACTAGTTTCATCAAATTTTATACCTCTTTTAATACTCTTCATTGATCACTTGCTCAAGCTTTGTCCTAATCGGGTCAGCCATCAATACAATACTATATTTTCAAGCGGTACAAGAGGGGGGGGGGGGGTCTTTAAAAATTAAAAAATGAATAGGGGGGGGAAAGGCATATAATTTTGAGGGGGGGCCAAAATTGTTTCAAAATTTCTAGTTTCCTTCGCCCACCCTTGCCATATTTAATGACCGGTCCCTTATTTTTTTTCCTTCTAATAGTCAAAACTAAAATTTATAAATCAAAGAAAACAAACTCTTTTCTTCATATGGGCATAATTTATATAAATTTTTTCTACACCAACTGAAAATGAGTCACTTTTTCTTGAAAGGAAAATAAGAATCTATAGCCTAATTTCGCGATAAACACCATTTATATAAGAACCTGTTTAGGTTAACTTAAAAAATCTAGGTTCTTATACGCGGGGTTTTACTGTAGTAGGCCTACAATCAATGAAACAAAGCATCTTTTATAATACTACCTATCACTCTGATTGTGACTGTCTGTTTACGGATCCGAGCAGCTCTCACTTCACAGGTAAAATTTCCTTCATCTTGTTTCATAAAATTCTCAATGGCCAGTGTAGCATCTCGGTTTGCATTTGCAAAGTCCCCTTTGAACTCAATTCGGCCTGTGAACTGGTTTGAATCAACTGTAGTGGTTTCACCCTGAGGGTTGACGTCATAGATCGTGATCAAACTCCCAGAAGAGCCTCGTTTCTTATAATACCAAACTACACTCGCAAACTTGTTGTCATTGAATGTGAAAGGAATTTCAATTGTTGTGTATTCTCTTTTATATTTTATAACACCTGCTGTGGATGTAAATACACCAAGAGCTAAACAAAATAATTAAAAATATTCCGTTACAATTACAAGGAGAATACTTTTAAATCTATATAATCTCCTGAAATAACGATATATTTAATGTCCATTTCACAGGGTGTGCATGATGCACGATTCTTTCACGCCAGAGGATCATGATATTCGTGCTATATAGATAACTAAGTCTGGTTTTCGGTATAGGTGTGAGGAAAGTCGGAGCACCCGCAAGAAACAATCACAGAATAGGAGAGAACCAACCCAATCTCTACAGTACTTACAGGAGTTTTCAATTACAGGACAGTCACCCAACATAAGTATAAATCCC